TATTAGAATCATTTTCAAAAGTACACAGTTTGACCATTTCTTCAGTAAAATAGCCCTTTCTGACAAAATACCCATTATGGGTTAGTTCAAGTTTTCTCGACACAAATACAGATTTGATTTCCGATTTTTTCAAGAGAACCCCACTTGCTAAGTTCTTATTCATTTTTGGTACATAAATGGCATTGGTCAAAGTAATTTTCTTTCCTGAAGTGAAGATGATCTTTACATTCTCTTTGCTAATCACTTTAGATCTTCTTTCATCTCCCATTTGGATCTCTTAACCATCATCAATATCATAATAAATTTTGAAAAGAGACTACTCATAACACACATGGATGGTTGCGCAAGTATCATACCACCAATCCAGAATCTTGCTTTGGATTGCATTGATTCACTGACCACAATGATACTCTCATTAATGGAATTCACTTATCCCTTCTTATTTTGTTGGTTTTTGTGGCTGCAATCTCTTGCATAGTGCACCAGTTTTTTACAAACATAGCAATGTCCTTTGGACTTGATTTTGAACTTCCCTTGATTGTTGTTAGGACTAAGAGATTTTGAACTCCTAAGGGAATCTATAACAATCTCGGATGTTAAAGTGTCACTACCATAGTTAATTTCATTCTTAACCTCTCTATATGAATCATGCATAGAATTCAGCAAAACAATGGGCTTATACGTATCAGATACTTTTTCATCACAATTAACGATATCTTGAACAAATTTATTGAAAATATCCAAATTGTCATCAAGATCTTTTAAAGGATCCATTTTAAAGTTGAAAAATCTATAAAACAAGTACAACTTATTAAGAGTAAACTTAAGTAAATATAAGTTATTCAACTTTTGCTAAAGTTCCTTAGTAGAATCAAGTTTTTCAATTTTTCTCAAAACGGTGTCGGATAGGTGTAAAATAATTGAAGTGTAAGCAAGTTCATCATCTTCTTCTTTTTGTATTTCTGTTAAATTTACAAGAAACACTTCAAATAGAGCAAATAATTCCTAAATTTCTAGCACAAGCAATAATTACCCCTTCACGTTAACCACAATCCTAATGTCACCCCACACGATGACGCTCTAACGTGAAATTTAAACGAGATTAGCCAATTTACCAGAGTGGACCAATATGAGTCCATAAATTATGAGAGATGTGAATTTATCACTTTAGGGCCACCACTATTCGCCCAAAAACTTTCAGAAATTGCAGCAACCAATCGAACACTGAACTGAAACACAAACACGCAGGGGCAAATTGTCCAGTTTTCACCATATAACCTGAAACAGAAAACTAACAACACTAATATGTTAGAAATCACGTTAGAAAGATTCTGTCTGAAGAAACGTCGCTAGAGAACCCCTCACGTGTCGCCGTCACCCCCACTCGCGGTGGACCTAGGTACGCCTCCACCTGCTGATTCTCCCCGTGGTATTGAATTCTTCAAATGACCATTGGTTTGGCCGAAAATCAAGTTTACAGGTCTGATTTTTAGGAGCAAAATGGACAGTTTCAGTTCTGCCTATTCTGCTTCGTTTCTGGTCGGCTTCTAGTCAGATTTTGGAGTCCAATCCACCTCCTTGAGGCTCCGATACCAAATGTTGAACAAAGATCTCCAATTTCCAAGTTTCCGGGCTCAATATCGACTAATCAACACCACCAAACGATATACCCAAACCAAGAACCAACGCCCCAAAACCGGTTGCTTTGGGTTGCCCACAAAGGGCAAGATGTGGGATGTTGTTATAGCCTTAAGATCAGCAACACACGCTAAAGAAAGAAGGAAACCAAGTACTGAAGACAAGGAAGCACGAAGCCAAGAAGATGGACAAAAAGGGGCCATCTTTCTCTCAAACACAAAATGGACTAATAAACAATTCCACACACCACGTGAACAACAGTAACGGACAGCATATATAATACCAAGTGTGGGCTTTATGTTAAGGTAATAGAGGTCCAATAGGTAGCATATAAGTGTCTAGTGACTATATTTGAATTAAATGTCTACCTAGCAGCTTAGTCTTGTAGAAAAGTGCACTTTTTAAATTTTTGTTTAATATATAGCTTGCAAGTTGCAACAATCAAATACTACATTATGGAATATTTATTCTAGACTTCGATGACGAGTTATGACTAGCTCTTTATTGCAGTTATAATTAAATTTGTACCTTGCTTGAAAATAACTCATTCATAAAGAGTCAGCCGAACTACCAATCCTTAAAAGCACTTTGACACTTGTTATGCTAACGAGAAATTAAGAAAATGTAAGAGAGACATTCGAAGATTTTAAGATCAAATGTCAATGATTTTTTAAAAAAGAATTCAAACTTTAATTTCTATTTTCCAATCAAAGTTAGCTTCACATTGAATGTGCACCTAATATTTTGATGCTAAATAAATTGTGAGGATAAGAAGGGAGAAAAGTTATGTCCCAACGTGCATTAATGGATATAGTTGAATGTTGGTTGGACTCCAATTCCAATTAATTGCATTTTTAATGAGGAAATTCCACCCTTTTGCTTATATAATATTTACTGCAATTATTATGTTTCTCCCCTTTTTTGCATAATTTTTTCTAGGCATATTTTTTTTTCTCATAAAGACCTTTTCAAATACTCTAATATATATATAAATATATATATATATATGAGTTGAATTATAAATGACAACATTAAATAAATCAAGAATTTAATTAATTTATATGAGGTCGAGATATCTTTTTTAGCTAACAGACATAAGAATATATGGCTCGAACTAAGATCTGAAGTGGTGTACATGATCATTAGAAGTGAATTATTGTTTGACTAAGAGATGATCATATTCAATAGATTTTTTTCTCCACTTATTTAAATGTTTTTGCAAGACAGCAAGTATGAACATTATAAAGTTTCTATAGAAATAAAAATGAGGTTTTATGGGTGGTCATCAAGT